TTAAGAATGATACGAAACAACTGAAGTACAACTGAAAAAGTGTTTTAAATGCAAAAAAATAAAAATAAAAAGATAAATAACTTATGATAAAAACGGAGATATTTAGATTGCCGAAGTAGATTTGCATGTTTCGGAATTTCTTGAAATTTCACTCGTGAAGTGGAAAAAAACAGGAGATGGTTGCGTGCTTCACTTCAGAAATCTGAGTCAATAATTTTAGCCGACATTAATAGTAATGAATCGACTTTCGAGAGGGACACTTCACAATATGATGCAAAATAAATAAAATTATTAATAAGGATAACGTTAAACAAATAATTTTTTCATATAGAAACCCAGTAAGAGGCTCCTGTATTTATTTATTTACGAGTGAGTAATGTAATCAACGCAAAAAAAACACAATAATTACATTAAAATAAATAATAAGTAATTAGGAGAATACATTCAATTAAAAATGTATTACTTTTTTCATCATGTTGAGTAACGTTAACTCATCTTAATATTGGTCTACTTAAAAAAATATAAATAAGTACTTTATCTTTTGGGAATATGAAACGGGTTTTCACTTAACTTTGAAATTTTTTTAATACAAATTTATATTTATATTAGTTTCACGTTTTATGTTTAAAATGTACAGTGTACTTGATAAATGAACTAAGCATCAAGTGAATAATAATTTTTGCAAGAAGACATTTCTATTTTTTTTAAGCATTTAAAAATGTAACATTTACCAGAGTAAGTTCCAAATATATTAATTAATGTAATAAAATGAATTAATTTTTTATTTTTTAATAAAAATAAAATGTAGAAAGTGATTAAAAAACAATAAAAGACAATTTATAATAGATACTTTAATTTTGTTTTTAAAATATCCCATACTTTATTAGCATATTATTTTATTTTATTTATTATTATTAATTTTATTAACATTAAATATAAATATAAATAAATATATATATATATATATATATATATATATATATATATATATATATATATATATATATATATATGTATATATACACACAAATATATTCAAATCTGTTCTAATTAGATCAATTCAAATAATCACAACATATTCATAATTATAATTTTACGTTCAATAAAATTAAGCGTTTTATGTATACATCATTTCAAAATAGCAAATACCAACCTTTTAACATTATTCCAATTTTTTTTAAGAGATTTATTTAATAAACCTCTTACTGATCAGATTTTATTTTAAGTATTGCATGCATTTTTGTTTTATTTTGGAAAATATCTAAAGTAACAAATAAATTAATACTTATTTAATAAATAAGAGTAATTCAATAATAAGATTGGGTGAAAATATTTCCATTCACTTCTGTAAATTTAAGCGTATTCATTTAATAAACGTGAATACAGCCGTATTTACTTGTACATCTGTAAATACAGCAGTAATCACTTTTAAAGTAGTCAATACGGCCGTATTTATATTTACTGCTGTGAATACGTATCATCTGTATTCATATTTCTTTTTATGAATATAAATATGAATAAAAAGTGGCGTAATTATAAATATATTCGTATGTATATTTTTGAATATAAATATGTCTATATCTGACCGTTGGCATCAGTTGATATATGACGACTCTTTACCAACGATATTGTACAAATTTAAGCGGACATTAAATACGATTTTAGTTTCTGAGAAATTTTAATCCATATGTTCAACAAAACTCGTTATAATTTGGTTTCGACACTATTTTCTTCTTTTTTTTTCGTTTTTACCTTTCTAACACGGCGTCGTGTTAAGATAGAATCTTGAATAATAGCTTATTACAAAGAGGATGAAATGCTAAACATTTCCCTGGGTTACATTATGCAGGATCCGATTTTTATTTTTCGAGATATTTTAATCCCTATGCAATTCGACTACCGCCGACTTTACCCGAGCGGTACACATCGGAGATCTGATAGTGTCAAATCTAATTCACTTTAAAAAAAAAAAAATGCAAAACACGCCTAAAGATGTTTCACTTTAAAAACAAAACATTGAAATAGATTTTAATTTATTTTATTCCTGTGTGAATTTGGATGATTATTGAAATGCAGGTGTGCGAAAAAGCTTTGTTAGGTGTATATTGGGAAATTCACAAGCAGCTGACGGAATTCAAACAACAAAGTTGCAAAAGTATTTGGTTCTATTTACATTATATTTTAATCACAAAAGGTAATTATATAATACTAATGTCATAAGCGGATATCATCTAAACGTTTTTATGAGAAAACTTTTAAAAAATTGTTCATTATGCAATCTTGCAAAGTCGGAAGTAAGATTTAATAATATTCTAACAAATGCAAAACAGTTATTGGTAAAACGAAAAAAAATATTAAAACTACCACGGTTATGTATTTAACTAATACAGAAGTATTAATTTTTAATGATTGTAAGATGAGAATCTTACTCATATAACTCAAGTCTCAAAAAAAGTTTATACGAAATACTTTTTTAACCCATAAGTAGTAAACGCTATGACAGCAAAACTCAACGTCAAATGTTATTATCTAGATTTAATTGTGCGACTCAATTAAAGAAAAATCAAGAAAAGTGAACTCAAGCAAAGAATAATTCACTGAGTCCATTGTACTAAGAACTTCGGAATTTTTGTTTCCAAAAATATTGGTCACGGGAAAAGTTCCGACTCGACGAATCTCAACATGATTTGCCCAACTTGTCAGTTTCTTTCGAAGAGACATTGGAAGATATAGTAATAATGTAATATAATTCTTTCAACTTAAAGCCAAATCGAACCGACCATTTCTGAGATATAAGTATACCTAAGAAAATTAATTCGCCCAAACAGAAGTACTGTATGGACTTTAATTAAATTGACATAGGACCATTTAAGCACCAACCCCCAAAACTCTTCAAATTAGATAAACAGGAGTAAGTGATATGTCCATCACATCTATTTGACTACAGACAGACCGACAGACATATTCCAAACAAAATTTGATCATTGATGTGAAAAACTTAAAAATCGAGTGGAAATTTTCGATTATGAATACAACTATTTTTTTCAAGCTCCCGCTCTAACACAAAGCTTCCCTACCTTCGTTAGTTAGGAAGCAAATCTCTAATTATAGAAACAATAAAAGCTTTTTGGAATATTTTTTTTTATCTTATTCATGACACGTGCTTACAGTTAGTGCGTTATAACTTAAAACTAGTGTTGTTCAAATGCGAGACCGAGACGAGTCTTGGTCTTGCAAACTCAGTGTTGGTCATGGTTTTGGTCTTGCGCAAGAGTTACTTATTAGCATATTACTATAGAGATATTACTGTAATTTTTTAGATAGGAGAAACCTAACTAAACCCGAATGAAAAATTAGAGGCGTTAAATGCAAAAGTATATTGTTTATACCAATAATTAACATATAGCAACTAAGATTGTGAAGTATTATTAACTATTTTGCCTTAATTTAAAATTTTAAAAATCTTTTTTTAAAAATTTAAAAAATTTTGTTTACCAGTCCTGGTCTTGGTCTTTCAACAGTTAGGCGGCCTTGGTCTTGGTCTTGCTAAGTGCACTACTTAAAACGAATACATGTTATGATTGTTTAAATATTTAGGTTAGATCATTTACAGAAACAAGTTTGGAACAATTAAAAAAACAACTAAGGTGTGGGCTTTAGACCAGAAGTGAAAACATCAACAAGGCGAGATTAATAATATTAAAAATGAATTATAAATATTATCTCATTATTTAGAATATGAAATGCTGAACATTTTTCATGCTTAGTGTGTACAGGTCCGATTTTTAATTTCTGAGATATTTTAATTTTAAAAAATATATTCTTGCAAAAAAAATCGTAATTATTTGGTTTTCGATATTGTTTTATTCCTTTTCGCCTCTCTAACACGACGTCGAGTTAAAATACAATTTTTAATAATATCCTATTATCGAGATCATGAAATGTTAAACAATTTCCTCACAAACAATATACAGTTACGAGTTTTAGTTGTTGAGATATTTTAATTCATATGTTAAAACACTTCAATAAGTCGACTCTAGCCAACTCTACCCGAGCGTTACACATCGAAGATCTGACGGCTCAAGTCTAGTTTATATACAAAAAAATATATAAACTATATTTATTAATGACAAAATTAAAGATAAATCAATCAAACTTATGATAAATTCTGCAAATTTGATTGTTGGCTTATTGCAAATATTCATTAAGTAATATTTGATAAAATTAAATTTCTAAGGGCTGTGATAAATTTTCTCTTTGTGAAATCAGAACATTGTGGAGCTATAATTATATTTAATACATAAAATGGTTACTGAGTTTTATATTGTGAAATAAGGTAGAAATTCTTGAAATGTTTAGCTTCATAAAAAATTAAATTAGTTACTTTTTGCTGTATGCCAATGATACATTATATTAGCTCTACAAATGTGCTATGGCAAAAAAAAGAATTTGAGAACCACTGTGCTAGAGCATTACTTATGCTACCACAGGGTATGGAATACGAATTTGCAGAAGCTTCAGTGTTATTAAAGAAGGAATTTCCAAAAGCAATCAGAAATGAAATTTAGTGTTCCTAGTTATAAAGTTTGGGACTAAAAGTCTAAGTACACACTGATTAATCACGTATTCAGATATTCTACATTTGATTTCCCTCCTTTGATTTGTCCACTTTATTCCTAACTGCGTATTTGTTTTTATGTGTATATGCTAAGTAAAAATAACTCCTTAATTAAATAACTCTCCACCGACACGAGTCTAAAGAACTTTTCACTTAAAAAAAATATTTCTCTGTTTTGGGGGCTTCGACTCGAAGCTCCCCTTTCATCCATGTGTTCCCCCCGGTGCTTATAAACACATCATTTACTGTGGAGCCTATTTCACTCGACAATACGACCTCGAAGACAGAAGAGCAAACCGATCCCCTAATCCTCTTCGACGTCAGAGCGACTTCCCCAGGAGTAGGGCGACCACCACTAGACAACAACCCCCACTTGGAGCACTCAGTATCCGACAAGAGCTGCCGCAGTACGGACCTCCTAGCAGCACCATGAGGTTATCCATCACCACCACGCCGATGCCGGGTACGTCTTATCATTGTGTGATATCATATTATAGTATATGATAATAATAATATGTATAGTATAATATATCAAGTTAGGCTAGACTATCAAATTTATTTTTTCAATATTGAATGTTACACTTCAAAACAGTGGGTTGTTGCAATTTCAATTTTATATTACACATTAAATAGCCGATAATCACTTTTAAGTGCTTTCTACTTTTTTTTTATTTTATTGTAATCTTCAGATCTCAAAAATAACGACAATACATAATTGAAAAAAATGTGCTAGACAATATATTCGACTTCCTAGAGAATGGATAGAAAAACATAGGTATGCGGATTCTGCAGTAACCTTGTGGCAGTTACAAAGAATTTTTAATATATTAAATATTGGTATTTATATATACCAAAAGAACTAAAATAAATAAAACGAAACTGTTTTTTTGAGTGGCAATAAATTGCAACGAAAATAAATTTGTATTCACAAAAGTCTATGGGTACGTATAAACTGTGTGTTTAAATACAAATAAAATCTGGACTACCACTAAAGGAACAAAGTATATAAAGTAAATACGTATAAGTGATTGATGTATATAATATATATTATATGTAACAAGTTTGTGATAATGTGTTTATATATACCAAAAGAACTAAAATAAATAAAACAAAACTGTTTTTGAATAGTAATACACAAAATTGCAACAGGAATAAATTTGTATTCACAAAAGTCTATGGATACATATAAACTATGTGTTTAAATACAAATAAATCAACAAAAAAAATGTGTACTACCACCAAAGGAACAAAGTATATAAAGTAAATACGTATAAGTGATTGATGTATATAATATGTAACACCTTTGTGATAATGTGATACATAATATATATATATATATATATATATATATATATATATATATATATATATTATTTATCACTATTTATAAATTACATATGCATTCATGTATATGTGCTTGCGTGTGTTTAAGCATATCATCCTAGATGTAAACATATATATTATACAGACCATTTTTTTTTCTTCGTTATTTTTTAAAGCCAACGTAGTCTATTACCGTAAGATGTTTTTGACGACTTTATAAAATTTTGATTTTTTTTACGTTCCGAAATGAGAAAATAATTTTAATGGTTTTCTTTTAAGACAAAAATTATTATATTCATCCTAAATTTTTATGTTACTAAACTATTAACTTAATGATTATTTTAAAAATTACACAATTGACATAGCCCCTTTATAACGTATTCACTATTGATCGAATTCTTAGAGACCGGAGCATAAAAGATTGAAAACACGAGATAAACTTATTTTCAAAAAATATCTGTAATTTGAATGCATTTCTATTATTAAGGTTTCTGATATTAAATATAGTAAATTTTTAAAACATTTTTGGACTTCTTACTGTATAATTTTGTGAAAGTAGTGAAATGGATTTGATTCATGTAGCTATTAATTCAATTATTTTCTACAAGAAATAATGAATAAATAACTTTCTAAAGTTCGATTTAGAATTTTACAAGATAATGTGGGACTTGCTTTTCTCGAAAAGAAGCTGAGCGACAATCTAAATTCTTTGAGCTTTGTATGTTTTCTTGATTATCTATAAATTGTATAATATTTGCTGTGATAAAGAGAGGTTTATTTAATTTTCGTTCAAATAATATATAAATGTAGAAATCTACGAATAATTGTAATTTAAAATAATTATTTAATTTTATAAATGGCTACGTTATACATAATCATTGACAATATTTTATTAAATATAGTATTATATTATTATAAATATTTCTATATATAATAATAATATAAAAGTATAGTGGGTTCAAATCCTAAAGTAGTTCAATAGTTAATATTTTAACAAAAAATTAGTATGCTATGCCATGGTGGTAACGATGAAGAAGATCGTAGCTAGGCCGACTCCTAAGCGGCCTGCAAATGTTGCAGTCAATGTCTCGGAGTGATATGTATAACATATATTGTAAAGGAACAACTATTGATCCTTGCGGTTACATGTTTTTGAGCCCCCTCGGATAGAGAAAAATCTATCAAAAAAGAAGGATCGAAGAACGGGATTTTATGTACGAGATAAGATGGTCTTGGTTTTGAAGAGAAGCCTTTAGTGGCAGACGACATCTAGATATACAGTTGCTTGTTGTTTTTGCTCCAATGGTATAATAATGAAGCCAGTATATATGTAATTGTTTTGTTATCGCAAGTGAGCTGCGAAAATCTAATGGATTTAGCTTTAAATTTTAATACAGTAATCAAAATTCTAAAATCTATTAAATGGTTAATTTTCTTAATAAGAAGATGTGTATTTTCATAACCAAAATTACGGATTTTCTGAGCACCTTATAGAGCACCTCGTCAATTATTTAATCCTAACCTGGGGCTTTTCTTTTGTATAAAAATGGTTACATCAATATTTCGAAAATCAATTAGAAAAATCAAACATCAAAAACCTGTAAATGTCCGATAAATACATTTTACGAAATGGGTATCGAACAATTATAATTTCACCAACTTATGGGCCAAATTTGAAAATCAAGTTAGCAGGACATCTTGATATTCCCATTTTCATTCGCCTATTTCTTAGCTTATTAGGAAGGAGCAAACTTCTTAGGATGGCCTCCGAAGGAGCTGTCAGACTTAGGTCGTCCTAGTTAGATTGCCTACTCCAGAAGCTATTTTCTGGTAGCCATCAGAGCAGCAACTATGTAATTCAGTTCTAAGCAATAGCTTCTTAAAAGATAATTATTTATCTTTACGTAAATGTCATAATAAATTAAATAAATTATAGCTTTCTAAGTAGTTTAATAGATTTAATAGTTATTGGAAGTGACATACAAAAATAAATGAAAAAAGAATTTTAGGTATAGTTGTAAGAATGTTTTTCTCTTCCGTATTATGTTATTTATTTAATTTCCTTATTTAATTTTCTTTGTCCATCTTCAGGGACATTTCTTACACTGTTAGAATAACATTAACGTTATTAACATTTGTTGAAATTTTTTCTAATATGTAAATATATTTGTTTAATGTGTTTTCACAATTCATTTTTATTTTATCTTCTCAATGTTATTCTTCTATCTTATATTCTTCTACTGCATGTTAGAAAATTTTCATTTTCTTCATATTTCATTTAAATAATTTCATACATTAATTAAATACCTGAAAAAACCTGTACCACTACAACCCATAAAGGGTCTGGGGTTCAGTACTATTTAGGGAAAGCACTGTTTCTAGGTCCACGGTTGTGCAAGGAGGAGATTTGACCGAGATCACGCTCAACCGCCAGGTTTTCTCCCTTAATTAATTATTTAATTAAGGGTATCCTCTTTATAGACGTTGGGTGTGCCCTAGGAGGGACTCCTGACCCAAGGTCGCCCCACAATTAATTAAATATACGGTTGGTAAATTTTCACAGTCAAATTTGTGGCAGTATTTGACAGTGAAAATTGACCAATGTTAATAATGTTAATGTTGTTCTAAGAGTGTAAGAAATATCTCTGAAGATGGGTAAAGAGTCCAAAACGTAGGACATATAAATAAATATCATAATACGGAAGAGAAAAAAATACCATAAACTCTTCCTTAAGTAACAGTTGGATATCACAATATATGAGATAAAAAAATAAATTTTATTACAAATTAATTTTTTAATGAATTTGTAATGAATTACTTTACAATAACCTGATCAACATGAAAGTCTTCAGAAAATATAGTTTAAAAAAAAATTGATTAAACGGTCTTTTATTATCTTTATAATAGCCAGTTATCAATGTTTTATATAAATATCTTATGTTTATAACAACACATCACTATTATTTTTGACATGAAACATGACCTCCTATTTACCCTTGACAATGCTGAAATTCCTCCGAAAGAATAGGGTCCACATGTCAATAAAAAAAGAAAAATGTCAAACCTCAGTCTACGGCTGTTATACTCACTTCTCTCAAGACGCTCCAAATTAAACCCAAAATAAAAACTGGACACGTCCGGGACAGCCAAAATGACCCACATACGAAAACTACAAACGTTTCAGTCAAAAACTTTCATTTATAACTAAAGTTCCATAGTACATCACAAACATTACTTTACATAAAGACTTTCAAACGCCAACAGTTAACGACCACATACGGACACACTACAAAAGATTTCACGATAACTTACATAGACATAGTAACTCAATTATACAAAATATTGCTACATTTAACATACCCGAAAACATACTCAAGAGGTTTTAAAAAAAGCTGTACGAGGGATTTCCTCGATTAAAAATATGCTAAATTCAAGACAAGAAGGTCCGCCGTTGGGCACTTCTCTCCCTCACGCCGATCAAGCCACTACCTGTACTCCAGCAGACCTGTTAATTGTCATTGCCTATGACAGCTGTGGGTGAAGATATAAAGTTTAAAAAAAAAATATATATATATATAGGTATATATATATATGCCTGTTTTGAATGTTTTCTTAGTTTGCTAAAATAACCCATTGTACAGAGATAGAAAAGTAAAAATACATATATTTTTTATTAGCTTTCATCGTATCCATTGTGTCAACCAGAGGATTTAAATTCAAGTTCAGCATCCTCAAAAACATGAATTGACACATTTGAGCCACTGAGTCGATGTCCAAAAGACCTATACGTTCACGAAAACTGTTAGCTGGAACATTTAATATATGCTTTCAGTAAATACTCAACAGTCATGCGCAGCGATCACTTGTTGCAAACTAGAAGCACCAATCTTCGCGAGTACTCCTCTGAAACGGGATATTCTTACGAGACCTGGAATAGTTTCTTTTTGTCCTGATTTAGATTTAAAGGAGACTGAAGTAATCTTTCCCAATTTCGTCCTCTTTTTATGTCACTAACCTCATCTTCTGGTGTAACAATATTCCTGGGTGGGCCTGCACTGTTACTTTCTAGTAATAATGGTATTGATGTAGTAATAACAGTTCATGTCGTAGTTGTAACAATCACCAATTCATTATAGTAAA